TTTTTTAAAGTAGAAGCAAAAAAACAAACAACCATCTTCGAAGTTCTCGTGTCAGTTTATTAATTTTTTACTTAATACCCATTTCTCAGACTCATTCCTACCGAGGTTAATTAAAGCGGGCAAAACGCTGCGCATCAGCAGAAACTAATTTGATGTAAAGTTGGCGGTTTGTGGACAAGTTATTCACTCCTAGTAAAGCGAGGATGTTGCAACTAAGTACTCGATCTCTTGGCTTCCCCACCTCAAATGAGATACAAAAGTTCAAGTAAGATGTTCAAAAGGCACAAAAAATTGAATTGTTGTATATGTATTTGGATAAATTTATAATTTAACGATAAAATTTCGATGTCCTTAGCACACAAAGGGAGACACGAAACGATGAAAGAAATTCTAAATATAAAATTCAAACAGGTTAAAGCTAGTTCAATTTGCTGTCTTTTTCCAATTGTGTATACTTTTATGAAGAAGATTGCCTGCTGTTTATCTATCCGAATGTATAGTACTGTCTTTTAACTTTAGCAGTCTGCACCACGTAAGTAGAGTGTGAGAAATTCTTCGGCAAGCGAGCGATCCCGCTTCAAAGAAAGAATTGAGTGGAACTAGTTAGCGGTAAGTTTCGTTGTTTGAACTTTTATCTGAGTTCGCGAACGACGATGCATTTTAAAATGGAACGTTGCGTTTGGAAAGTTCTCAAATATTACTTCATCCGTGCGAATTTTTCACTAAATGACGTCTTTGATCGGTAATATATTTAGCTACATAACATTATAAATATAAGAAAAATCCTTAAAGTTATGAAACGCAATTCGAATTAACTAACTCGAACAATTAAAAAAAGTAAAAATTATTACTTATACAATACGTGACTATGCCCTGATACTCTCTGCACAGAGGAAGCTTTTGCCCAGCAATAGGACATTTTTAGGCTGTTACTTTACTTTTTTTATTTACTTATAAAATAAAAATAAGTGACATCTAAGATAAAAATATATAAATATTTGTTGTTTTGTTTTATTCAAATTATTTTTTTATCTAATGTATTTTATCCGAATCATTTCAACATGCAATATTAATTAAGTACTTTTTGGAGACGAATGTCTATTAAAATACCAGTGATAATTATCAAACACAATAATTTGTTACATGTCTGTTCTCATGAATATCAAACGGCAGGGGAGTGTCCTCTTCCCCTGCACCTCAGACACATTAGTGCGATTGAAACCTCTCTAGCACACTAAGATTTAGCGACTAAATACGAAGACGGTCTATATTTAAACATTTCATTTGTGACTTATAAAAATAACAAGGTAAGGTACCTTATACGTTAATGTTTACACCTAATACGTTAAATAAATTAGTCAATGAGGAGTACACGTTTTAAAAGTAAAACTTTGTTGTTTATTTATATTTCAACTCTTTAATGTTAATAAATACACAAAAAAAGAATAAATGGGTACCATCGGTCGCGACGCTTTTTGAAAATAGATCGAACAATTTGTACTGAATCCACCAGTTTGTTGTTGATTAACAAAACACAAACTTGTCTCTTTATTGCAGTTTGTGTTTACAAACTGCTTGAAAAGCATTCGTCAAAATATCTCTATGTATGATAAAATATTGTTGTATTAAGACAAATTTACTTTCAATCATACGAATACTTCAAAGAATTGGTCTCTTAAAAAGGAATATTGAAGGGAAATATTCCCTTACAATTATCCCTTTTAAGTAATAACTAATTCCCTTCAGTGATATAACTGGAATACCAAATCATATCCCTATTAGGATTACAGTCCAGAGAGATCTACGTAAATCAGTGAGCCTGAACCGATACAAAATTGGAATTTGCGATCAATTTCATAAATGCCTATTCCCTTCAACCACCGATCATAACACACCTGAACTTTGATTAACTTGAAAGTTCTTTACCATGAAAGTGGTACCCTCAGTTACATTACTTAAAGGTATATGCTACTGTATACGTCTGCCTTTTTATATTTAATAGTTTTCTATTACTTTAGTTTCTATATTTGGTTGTACATTTCATTCCTAATTCGATAGTATTACGTTCTCATAGACTTAATTAGTAGTAAAACAGTCCTAAATATAGGTTTTTCGAACAAGGCGAACTAAATGGAAACAATAAAATATGTTTTATTCGGTGAAGATTTAAAAAAAATATAAATTAAGCTTACATAAATGACCTTTATATATTGGAATACAAATATATTATTATCAGTGAATATTGAAACAATAATACTATTAATTGGTTTTTATGCAATTGGCACATTGACTGGCCTAGAAAATCTAAATTTATGGTCATTTATTTAGAATGTTACAAAATTTCAATGCCTTATTGTCGATAAAATATTTTGAATAAGATCTTTTCGAAGGCGAACGAGCAGCTTTTCGGAGTAGCTCTTCTCGACAATTTCAAATGGCTACTGCATGAATCCTCCGCCATTTCAGTTCGGGTGCGAAATCTTGTACATTTTCGTTGTATTTGCTCGGTCTTGAGAATTATTTCCTTTCAAGGGGTAGTTAAACTACAAGCGTACCGTTTAGATACAACTCTCGAAGGTGAATTATTGTGCTAGATCTTATGACGATTTATTGACATGCAAATCTTGTAGTTATCCCTTTTCCTTTCTGACTTTAAATTAATTATCATATTTGTATTATTTTATTATAGGGACTTTGTTCAAAATTAATAATTGTAACTTTTATAAAGAACGCTATTTGATTATTTTTTTTAAATCTAGTACCCGTCTACTCTAGACTTCAACGAATATGCTAATATCTTATTCTATATGCCCAGATTATAGATTTTTTTATAACCACTGATGGCACCAAAAATATTTTGTGTAGAAAGCTGAATACACATAATAGAAGTTGGTAAGTTTGAGCCAAGCTCATTTATGGATGTAACATCAGGGCATTATCTGAAGAAAATATGACAATGCTTACAAACGTGAAGACACTAAAAATGTCAAACCATAAAAAAATATAATAATAAAATAGCCATTGAGAAAACCCGACGAAGGCGAAATCAAAGTTAAACTCTATCGAATATATGCAGACAGCATTCCTGTATGAGTGTACGAGTAAGCACGTGGCTAATCCTCGAGGGCAAGATTCCGCGACAGGTAAACGCACGCCATAAAAAAAGAGAGGAGTTTGCACCCGCATTTAAAGAGCCCTCATGAGATAGCACGAAGTTTTGCCAACTGACATCACTAAGAACATGGTACTTGCAAGCCCAGCACCACTTATATCGTGATAACATATAATATGTTAAAAAGTCAAAGACAAGCATTAATGTCATAAAGCTTAAAAAAATATGAGCAGTGAAATGAAGGGGCGTAGGGCTGATTTATTACTTGCACGTACCTAATGTAATGGTCTTTTGAATCAACCTAGAGGCAACCAATTAAAGTTAGCCCCGCCGACAACAGGCAAAACTGCACCGACGCGAAATTAGTTCGGAATGGCCTATTTTCCAAGAAAACAATCAGGACCAAAACTTGAAGGCTCTTATATATTCCTTGTTATGTTAAGTTCATTAAACACGTATAATTAGCCAGTTTATTTGTGTTAAGTATATGGTATAACATATCAGCTTGAGACATTACTTATACCTACAATTATAATTTTCTGCAATTTAATGTTTGTCAGCTTTCCCAATCTTTAGTTTTATATTTTAAATATATTATTAAATTTTATTTCATTTTGACCAGATGCTCAGACAGAAAGTAAACAAAATATGTGTAGGTATTAAAAATGATTAAATGACTATTTTGAGGTAAATAATAAAAAAACACATCACATCTAAACTTAGTGTCGATTTGATGAGTGTTAATCGATTTAAAGTTTACAACGGCGAGAGGCCGATGCTCATTAGGGTAGAGCCCGGTAACATGAGAAATAAAATATTCCAAAGACTTGTTTAATCTCTTTAAGCTGCGTGCAGAAAAGAGGAGCCTGACTTAAGAAAAAGTTAGAAACCCTAGCCTATTTGCTAATACCTAGAAAAGCTATTACTTTTTGGCACTTCATAATATGAATTTTCATACTCGTACATAGAACTGATATAAAATTTAGGATATTGCCGACGCAAGAAGCCTAGATTATATTTTAAATAATATCATCATATCGCCAGAATTTTTCGGTTTCGTCGTAATGATTATTAAAAGATGGTGAAGGTATAGTGCGTTCTGAGACTTCATCAATAACCACTTTAGTTGATAGGTGATTTAAAAATGTGTCTAAAATAAATGTAAAATGTTTATTAAAAAAAATATTAAATTTTATTAAAATTTAATAATTTTCCTTAATAAACATTTTTCTTAATAATATTTTGATAAATATTACATATACATAAAATATGGAAGCTGAAAGATCTTTTTTTTATTTTATTAGATCAACCATCTCAAGCATTATTTCAGCTTGGCGGGAATACTTTGGGTTTAACCTTTCCGAAATTTATTTATTGCCCGCAGATCCCTCTTTTGTGTACGCGTCTCACGAAGGACAAGGAAACAAGACAAGACGGCTCTTTGTCATTTTTGACTGTAGCCGTTACTTTTACCCATTTATGAGTGTTGAATGATGTTTCATATTTCCATTATTGCATTAGTATTACAGCTAGCTAAATCAATTTAATTTGGAAAACGTGTATTGCTTTGCAATTATATTCAAATAAAAGTTTATATTATTTACCGTAGTACATGTATTATGATAAAGAGTAATTGTAATAAAATATAGTGCGATTAAACTTCTGCATTGCACCGATGAAATTCTGAAATTCGTGTAACCGTTTGTATTCAACATTGATTCTGTTTAAGAATAAAATTGTATAATAATTTATGTCTGAATATCTCGTTTTTGCTATCGGTTCTATTTTTACAATTCTTCTTTTATATTATTCTTCTTATTAATTTAGAAAAATGTTAAAATACTTCAACCCTAGTGCACATAAACTTCATTCAAGTGCGGATATTTTTATGGGAAAAAATCGACTTGTGCTCACAAGGTGATTGCATCTCCATCCTACGTATGGTCCCGTACATTATAACCATATAAAATATGTTTATTTATTGGTTATTACATCAAAGCGTATAAGACGAAATCGCCACTTTCTCCTAAATGGGATCATATTAGAATTCTCTAAACGGAGACAATCTCTACAATGGGGGTAAGGCCAGTCGTACCTTCTTCGCTTTTCCGTTCTTCCGTAGGAGCTTTGCGCAGCAGAGCCCTCTGGTGTCGGGGAGGGGCGCGGGCGGGCGACGCGACCAGCACAACCGTCTGGGACTGGGCCCCGCCGCCTCCGCCACACTGCGCGCCTCCTCTTTGTCTTCGCACATCACCGACAAGCGCTGTCCTTACACCGTGACCCACGAGCACTCGTAGCCGAGATACCGATGTTTTACGAGATCCACGCGCATTGTCTCCCCTACAAACCTACGGACGCCACAAGATAACGCAATCTCGTCCTAATACATTATAGCGAATAGCGGGGATCCAGGCGGAATTCTCCTTTTAACGCGAAAGCTCCTATCCGACTAGCATTAGAGGCGACAATAAAAATAAATTAGCGGGCCGTTTCTAAAGTAAGTTCGATGTGTCTTGTACTATTTTTTCTTAGGAATCAACAAAGAAAATTGGCCATTCTAAACTAAATTATTTTGAAAATAGATCTTCCCAACGTCCGTTTAAGCATCTGAAACAAAGAAATGCATTGGTTATAAAAGTTTATATTTAAAAAATAATCCACCCCAATAACAGTGATATAAAACAATGCTGATGATGCGTCTTGTTTGAAAACAGAATTCCCAAGTGTTCTACCAAAACTAGTGTACCAAAAAGTGTTCTACGAAAACCAATTCTGGCACAATTTTATTGAAACCTGTGTTTTTAATCCTGAAAACCGAATTACTCTCATATTTAAGTCGAATTTATCACAAGAGGTTATATCTTATGTTATGCTTAAAATTTGTATAAGGTGTTGCCAGTGTTGGCAACTCTTGAATTCCGTAATGTAAAAGTCCGACTTATTAACGGTTGTAGAGCCACGCAGCAGCCTCGGCTGTTGCACGAATGGGCAGGCTCATCCGGGTAAGTACCACGACCTCACAGAAGACCGGCGTAAAGTGGAAGTATGAGAAATACTTTCGCGTTTCGTCTGATGAGTGAGGTAGCCGGAGCCCAATTTCCAAAAATGTTGTCAACGCATCTGCAAACCCTGGGGTGTAGCAGATGTTCATGGGCGGCGGTATTCACTTAACATCAGGTGAACCGTCAGCTCGTTTGGCAACTTTTCACATAAAAAAGTCCTTAACAAGAGATTTTGTGAAATACAAATTACAACTGAACTTCAAAGTTGTAGTGTTGAGTTCGGTCCCCACAGTAGAAGTGACATCAACAACCAACAACCAAAATATGGTTATATAGTACAGTTTTTAAAATATAACATAAAAAGTATACAAAACTATTTCAAATAAAAGTCAGTACTATTCAAGTTCACTATTAAATTTTCAACTTTTTATTCAAATGAAAATTTTTTGTAAACATCATTTTATACCTTAGGTACTACTTTCAATAACTGAAAATTTCCAATAACTAATTAAGAAGTTACGAGCACTACGTTGAATAATAATGTCCATTTGTTAGTAATTTTCTACTTTTGAAAATTTTCCCGCTTAATATTCACCACGCAAAGAATGAAGTCCGCAATCACTCTTAGCAAATTAAAATCTGAATAACACGAATTCAATTAATAAAAAAACCTGAAAAAGTAAACTTACGTAAAAATTGTATTACGAAATGAAAAAAATAAGTGATATAAAAATCATAGACGACATAGAATAGTGACATATTATTATAATTTAAATGGCATCGTGGCGTAATACTTTTTATTATTTTAGTATAAAACAAAATATGACTGAATTTTCAAAAACATCGTCTTTTCTCAAACCCTAAAAAACTTTCGGAATATTGGCGTGACACGCTATGGCGGTGGAGCGAAAGTTATTAGTGCCGGGTGGGCGGTCGCGGCCTCACCTATCCTGACAGTTCGCGCATAGCTGGATCAGTTCCAACAGCTAATATTCCATTCTGTTTGTCTTTCGAGGCAATAAAATGACTTTTATGCAAATCATACGAATTCTATACATTTTTGATGAGCCGCCCCGCCGCCGCATTCGTACCGTTTAATTAATACATTTTTCGATCGTAAGTTGGAAACTTCAAACTTTCAGTTGATTTTATTTGAAAAGTTTAGTTCGTTGACTCAAGGAAAAAAAACTTTTTAAAACGACGAACGCCAAGTAACTGTTATGATTATATTTTCAATAAAACTAATAGTGAAGATAAGTTTAAGAACTAAAAAACCTTTTACAACGTTCGTTTAATTTTCTGCAATTTTATCGTATTAACCTCACGTTTCCCGTGACTCTATGCATGTAGCTAGTATTCTAGTTTACGACAGTTACTAATAAACATTTTGAGATAAGAAAGAAAGTAAAAAATATATTTTATTGAATCTATAAGTTTTACAAAAATTTTCGGTGTGCCAGCCGATATTATTTTTCATATTTGCTTGCAACTTTTTGTGCGCACGTGCAGCATGTTAACAGAATTTTCTCAGCTCACTGATTCGGATACAGGTCTTATATCAAAAGCGAATTAAAGTTTACGGAACGTATACACAACATCGGCTGTGGCTAAATATATCATAATTTAATATGAAAATGATAACGGCACAACGACTATGAAACTTTATACTAGTTTCTCTGTTATAAAAAAGTCTTCTATGAATAACATAGAAGATTTTTTTACTTATTAGATAAGAAATTTATTGCTGTAAGGTTTATAAAAAATATCGTCGGTAATCCTGACCAGTATCCGAGCCTCATCTGTCATCGCTTATCTGACGCCAGGACACCGGTCATAAAACCAAACTTCCAATTTCGCTTATCCATCGTAGACATTGTAAGAAGATAGAAGATTTATATAAACAATTTTACTCTTATCAATGAACATGAAGAACCATCTGGAACACTCTACCCATTGTAGAGCTTTGAGTTGACATACGGGGTTTTTTCTCTCTTTGTGTCGGCTTTATTCCGTCCCGACGTCAACGACGAATAAACTGTTTTATATTAAAATCAAGCGCTTCTCAGTCTACATAATGTGGTCGAGTCTTTGTGGGATATGGAAATTAGACGCCAAATGGAAAAACTTTCATTGATATAAAGCCGTGTCTTTAACTGCAATGGCAATGAAAATTCGTTACAATTACTATTTATTTTATAATCATTCCGATGGCATTGATTGTTAAGAAATTTTGGGGGATGTCAGATGAAAATTTTACAAATTGCAACACTGTAATATATTCTAATATTGTAAGCATTTGGTAGTATCTCCATATAACATATTTCGTATTTTAACACTCCTGTATAAAATTATAAAAAATTATTTTGAAAATATAAAATTATTTTTACCCGACGATTTACAGATTGATTAAGTCGAAGCTAACGAATATAATAGTTCCGATGAAGCTGTTGACCGTCATTAACTATAAAACGAATATTATTGTTTTTGTGCAAAATGCTGTAATTTCTTTAAACTGGTCTGGCACCGTCACTTATTCAGGTGAGGGAGATATCGAGCGCTAGACAATTTTTAACTACTGAGTGGAATATTTAGATGTATTAATAACTTAAACCTTTACCTTTACATTTACCGCTCTCATCCCAATCAAATATTCATATTATATAATTCAAAGGATTTTAAAATTTATTTGTGAACTTCAAATGATGAATTCAGTTTCATGAAAAATTTATGTACAAATAGAAATAAGTATTTATCAGCCGCAGTTCCCTTGTATAGACAGTGGATTCCCGATCTAAGTTAGGTTTTAGCCCTAAGAGTGCAATTTTTAAATCTGAATTAATCCCAAGATTCAATTACATTTCAGGAGTTTTCAGAACAGGTTTCAGTGTCACATTGACGCCTACGACGACAGGTTTTCCACCTGTCTCGTGTGAGACCTATTAATATGTTGAACCAGTATCGCCGGAAACTTTAATTACCTTGTTGTATATCACTATATAATAACAACAGGTCAATAGCGAATAATGTAAAATTATAGAGTGATAAATATTTTATAAGAAGAATATAGTACAAATCTGCTCACGGCTTTCATTAATGAGATTTAATCGTTTGCAATAAATGTTAGAACTACACTAGCTCTATTAAACAAAACTTACTTACGGATTGTTTCGGGGCTATAAATGGGTTGAAACGTCGGGAATTAAAATCAAAATTAGACGTCAAAAATTCCGTTAATTAGTTTTATTAAACAATGTGTAGTATTCTTATAAAGTAAAGAAATCCATTAAAAAATTAATTGCCCCTTTTTTTCTTTAAATTTTTTTAGAGACCGAAGTGTCATATGTTTTGATTTTCTTCTTTACTTTCCTTTGATATGTTCTATATTTGTTTAATACGTACTTAAAGTTCCAAGATAGCATTATCTAGTTTGGAAGCTGTAGTCTATTTAAAGCGTTGTTCATTGCACCTTATTTCAAGATAATTCACCGTGCATTGTAAACTTATTGATAGAGTGATTTTAGAATTTGCAGCACTATTAAGGAAAAACAACAAGAAACAAGATTACTAATAAAAGTAGTGTAATGAATGATGGAACGTGGTAATACATATACTACATTGAACTATAAATTGTAGCTGAAGTTTGACTGACAAGATATAACAACAAAAATAATTCACATTGAAGATTCAAATCAATTAAAATATCGCCGAACATTCGAACTACATGAAGCATGGAAAAAATGCCATTATAAAACGTGCTTAACGTAAGCCACAGGACACGACTAAAGTTCTATTGTGTCCAAGCTCTCTGTTTGCCCTGTAAGTACTGTTTTCACAAAAGGAAGCATTCAGCAGTATTCTGAACAGTTCTCATTGAATCTGTTCTACAATAGACCCCTCTACTAACAGATATCTCAATGGTGTAAAAAATGCGAGACCAAAAATGTCGATAAAACGACTGTTAGAAGAATCAAAAACATTAACAAAAAAAATAAAACGTGTCGTATAAATATTTACAATGTAAAAAAAGACACCGTACAGTACAACTAATGCTTGTATAATCTCAACTAAAAGCAGTTCTTACCAAAGTTATAAATGATGGGTGACATGATTTTAGTTGTATTAATATGATCTACGAAATACGGGGGATGCGCCGCCGAAGTTACGCGCGGCACGGTTACGCGACTACGGAGGCGCTACGGAGGCGCTACGTTCCCGCCCGGAGAGACGTGGCCTCTCTGATCGTCTGGCGCGCGAGCGTCGCCTTATATCGCCCGCCACTGCCACCCTCACCC